TGGGGTTCTTATGACTCTCCTGGCTATTAATAATTCCGTTTATGCGTGCAGCAAACTCTAGCCTAGCCAAGGAGGGTTCAGTTCGGAGCGGATTGCCTTGTATCGGATTGGAAGGATTCTGGAAGGAATGAGGGCGACTGGAATTGGATTGTATTTAACTTCGTTTCGGGTCCTTCCCGAGTTTTCTAGACCAGTTACAGTGTCATAAAAAATTGGTCGAGAAACAGACGATCAAACGTACATTTTCATTTATTTATTTGTTTCAAAATTTTCGTTTTTCAAATAGAAAAACAGTCGACTTTTGCTGATTGATCAAGAAAAACATTAATTAATCATTCATGTTCATGTCATGTTTAAGATTATTTTCGAAATGCCCCCAATTTGTCTGAAGACATGTTCGACATATCAGATTTCTTACAGTATTTGCAGCTGCAACTATTCTTTGCCACATTTCATCTCTATTGTTGATAGAAGCAGCACTATAAACCATGACCTTAATATAATTCTAGAAAAAAATCAAGCGGATTTAGATCTGGACTACGTTGAGGCCATGGTTTTTTCACGTCCTCTTCCTGTCCATCGATGAGGAAATTCTTACTATTAGAACTTAATGAGCAGGGGCACCATCATGTAAATACCACATGTGAGCTCTAATGTTCAAAGGAAGGTAGTTCAATTAAATTAGATTGTAGAAAGTGCAGATAATTTTGGTCGTTTAAAGATACTGGAAGTTCAAAAGGCTCAAGGAGATGATCGTCGATTATTCGGAGCCAAATATTCAACTTATGAAAGCAAATTTCTTTACAGCAAAAAGTAATTTGAGTTTCAACCTAACTCCATTTTATAAAAACTCTGCGGTAGAATGGAGGAAAGTCTGTTATTTGTGCATTCATTCATATTTAGAAAAACTGTGTAATAAAATCTGTAAAAATGTATTGGTGGTTGCCTATTTATCCACGCACTGTACTTGCTTGCCGACTTTAAACGCAGTTTTTCAAAAACAGTGCCTCACGACGATATTCAACAAGTACCTATACCTTTTATACTGAAAAATCATTGAAAATTTGAAAAATGTTATTTATTTTTTTTATGTTATTACGCAGTGGCGTAACATTTATTTTTTAGAAAAGGGTCTTGAAAATATAGTTTGTTATAGTTTGTATTGACGTGAAATCGCAGCAAATGATGTAGGTCCCCGTTAAAACTTCTCATATCAAATTAGAAAAGAATCCCTCACCGTATCTCCGAGATATTCCTGAATTTAGTTTTTATTTTTTCAACTTCAACACCCTGTATCTCGAAACCTAAGCGATTATGAGCAACTTTTCCCCATTAATTTTCGTCATAGAAAGAATCTAGTGGTAAAGTTTAGCCAATTCTTTAATGGACACCCTGTATAAAATAGTAAGTAAGAATAACCTGCTCTTTTTCAAGAATATTTTATATCTGCCTTAAAAACTTATTTCTCTTAGGGTAAATATATACATTTTAGTTTTCTTTTCAAAAGAAAAAGGTGTTGAAATAAGTAAATAAATGGTTGAATGTCTAGAATAAGTAAATATTTAAATTCAGTACCTGGTATTATTGAATTTATTAAAATTTCAGTTAAGTGTAAAATTTAAGGTATATTAGTAGATACCTATTTTGAAATATAGATTAAAATTTTTTTCGTGTAGACTTCAGAGTTTTTTTACTGTTTTGAAAATTTATCAGAACACGAACATGAGTTTGTCCTTTTAAGGATTAATTATTATTATGTAAATATAGTAACCTGTTGCTTGTGCATTTCGCCGCTAATTTCGCAATTAATTAATTCCCCTTTAATGTCACTTCTCAATAATTATTTTAGACCTGATACTGACAACATCACAATCGTGTCGTATTGTTGGTAAACACTGTACATCGAGGGTATTTCCGTGAAATTTCTCTGAGTAATGTAAAAATCAATACAGGCAGGCTACGATTCGTCTTACCGCACACGGAATTTTCATCCCGTATATCAGATCCCGGACAAAGCTGATTGCGAATTACGCCTTATTAACAGTACAAAGTCATGCGAAATCTGCGACGCGGAAAAAAAACCCTTTATAAAAATAAACCCCTTATCTAACGTATCAGTATCCATTTGGGAGCCTTACGAATTCTGTAATACACTTGTCTCTGACTCATTCTTCGGATAGAATTACTTTCCATGGGCGACTCGTCAGCACCCTGGCTCCTCCTCTATATCAACTTTATCATCTACAGGGGGTTTGAACGTCGAGATATCCACATGAACACAAATGGCTCAGTTTTGAAATGAGTAATATTTAGTTCAAAATTTACTTTTGACAATAATCTTAAAGGGAAAAAAATGATACAAAATTTACTAAATCAGCTTCTGATTCTAATAAAACGGCTTAGAATCTTTATATTTTAAATTTAATCTGGAATTGGACCTGTCTGAGTGTTTTTTGCGTACCATTATTTCCTTTTCTTGAGGAGATTTCCAGCGAGCGCGCGAAAATTGGATTCGAAGGTGTCGTGCGTGCATCGAAAATGGTTGTAAACATTTTGAGCATATGTTGTGATTTGTTTTATACTTGTGCATTAAAAAATTACTGAATTTGGCTCTTTGGTAAGGACCTAAATTATTTTTAATACGTATGATTATTTAGATGACGTGAATCTTTGGGTACTTTAATCACATATTTTTCAAATTCATTGATTAGAAGTTAAGTTCCCGTTTTAAGACATTTATTATTACTAAAATTCGAGCTAACATTTAAGCACAACACTATCTTCGTACTACAAAATCGATACATTTTATTTTATTTATCTAAACACTGGAAAACAATTGTCTTGAAATTTACTAAATGTTTCACAATAATAGTTGTTTACATTTTTTCCATAGGACAAGTCTGCCTCATGCACACGTGGTATGCACCAGCTGCGTAGCGTTAGGTTAAGCGCTGTTGTCACGTTGTGATGAAACTCCCCAATATTAATACTAGTTGAATAGTCCAAGCATTCTGTCACGGATTAATGTTAAATTTGCAGAAATTATTACCTGGACAAAAAAAATATGACCGTATAGAAAATTAAATTTTAAATTGAGTTTCTTGTTCTTTAAACTCGATCCAATATGGCGAACATGGTTAAAAAAAATCGCAAAGTTGAAAAAAACGGTTTTTCTAAAATAACTAAAAAAA